ACTCCTTTAATCATATAAATTATATCAGATAGTTTAAATAACTTAGTCGATGTCCTTTCGGATACAAAAATGTTATATTGTGTCATATTACCATAACAAAATATTTGATTGAAAAGGCAAATAAAAAGAAAAAAAAACTGTAGAAAAATTGCGCTCTAACGAACAGTTACTTAGTCCAGGTTTGCATGCATGGGTAGCATCCATGCATACAACCCTACCCCCTCCCTCCCGCCAAAGTTACATTATGGTCGCTAACCTATTTCTGTTCTACAAAAAAAAATTGGTATACATGTTGGCTATATTTGCCCCTAGTTATAATAGAACTACCCTTTATGATATACGTGAAAAATAATCTCTTTCCCGATGCCCCACGACAAACACTGCCCACATATATCAGAGGATTACCTGAAGTATTACCCAGAGGCTCCCCATGCAGTGCCCAAAAACATCTCAAAGTTCATATTAAATCAACATGAAATGACTGTTCTTTGAGAAAGTAAATAATTTAACTTACATTTTACTTACTTACAAAGTAAAGTATAAAATTTTAAAGACAAAATTTACTTTTACTTGTAATTGTAAATAACAATTTTTTTCAAATTTCAATTTTTTTCAAATGTAAGCTGTTTTCGCTAATTAGTTACTTTTACGCGTAAAATTAATTTATTGTTATGATGCAGTTTTATTTTACTTGTAAAGTGAGTGTTACGTTGTTTAAATATTATATTTATGTAAGTTTACTTCATAAATAACTTTTTTTACATATAAAAAATAAATTACATTTTGACGTAAATTTTTTACATAATTGTAACCAAAATTACTTTTTAAAGTAAAGTACTTAACACGACTTACCATTAAAAGTAAGTTACATTTACAATAAAAGTAAAAATGCAAGCTACTTTTACTTGTAAAAATAAATTACTTTTTTAAGTAAAAGTTACTCATTTAAAAAACTAAAATTAAGTAATTAAGTTTTACATGTTACATAATTTACGTAAAAAAAAAAGAATTACTTTTAAAAGTAAGTAAATTATATATTTCAATATGAGTTATGTAAAGTAATTTACGCTTCAAAATAATTCGCGTTTTTACATCAAAGTAAGTAAAAGTGCCATCCCTAATTGTGATTTTTTGAAGTTATCAAAGCTAATTTATACAACAGCATAAAGTAAAAAATATGACAAAACCTACTGATTTGGGTGTTATTGGAAACAAAAATGTTAATGATAGAGTAAAACAGAAAACAAATTACCACAAAAAAAAGAAGAGGATTTATGATGAAGAAAAATAAAAATGCATGTAATGTTAGTGAATGTGACTCTAATGGCAGAAATATTATAGACGCATCAGCTAAAAAAGTAATAGTTATTACGAATGCATCAAGTAAAAACATTAAAAAAATTACTGATTACAGAATTATAGACACTGAATTTTATATAAAGTTTTTTCATTAATAATGTGCACTCAATGTGAAAAGTGTGCACTGCAGCTAGGTGATCATCAGAGAAAAAAGAAAGGTCTAGCAACGTTGCTATATTTAAAGTGTACTACACTATCTTGTGACTATAAACATGAATTTTATACATCAGTTGCTTATGATAAAGGGTTTGATATTAACAACATGACAATATATGCAATGAGAGTCTTGGGCCATGGTCATACTGGTATTGAAAAATTTACTCAGCTCATAAATATGCCAAAACCAATGGCACCCAAAAACTATACAAAATTAACAACAAAAATAAAAAACATTGTAAAAAGTGTTGCAAACAAAACAATGTCAGATGCTGCTACTGAAATAAAAGAAAATGCAACTAGTGAGGATATTGTTGATATTGGTGTATCATGCAATGGATCGTGGCAAAAAAAGAGGATATCAGTCTATGAATGGAGTTTTACCGCAATTTAATAGATAGTGGAAAAATAATTTATGTTGAACCTATGAATAAGTCATGTAACGCTTGTTGTATGAAGGAACAATAAAAAAAATCAAATCCTAATACATATTCTAATTGGAAAAACAAACATATTTGCTTGTACAATTATCAAAGTACAGCTGATAGTATGGAATCAGTCGGCGCAGTGAGAGTTTTTAAACGTTCCATCGAAAAACACAAGTTAAGATATACTCACTTAAAATATCACTCAATTTCTTAGTGATAGGGATAGTAAATCCAATCTTTCTATCAAAGATATATACCCAAACATGGAGGTAAAAAAATTGGAGTGTGTAGAACATTACTAAGAACGAGTTGGTACTCGCTTACACAAGTTAAAAAAAAATGTTAAGGGTCTAGGTGATCGTGGTCGACTAACCAATGCAGTTATTGATTGCTTGCAAAATTTTTTTGGTGTAGCTATCCGGAGCAATATTAATGGTCTGAACAAAATGAAAAAAGCAGTATTAGCTAGCCTTTTCCATGTAGTTTATTCAAAGGAAAATAACTATCAAATTTACTGCCCAACTGGAAAGTTGGTGCAAATTCAACATTAAAAATTATTCACAAAATCAAACCTATATATCCGGATTTAAGTAAAGATTCTGAATTCGTAAAATGTCTGCGTGGCAAAACCCAGAATTGTAACAACATTGGTATGAAGTCTGTCATTTTAATTTATGAAAAACTAAAAATGATACCAGGACATTTTACTTTAGCTGGTTGCAGACTCATAAACAAAAAACGAATAAAACTATCATTATTTAAATCGAGTGAAAGTTTTAAGATGAAACGAAAGATGTTATGGCGTCAACGTTTATCAAAGGATGATAATCAAAAATCAATAGAAAAGTCTAAGGAATATTATGGATCTGGTAGCTTTTAAAATATTCTTTTAAAAAGTTCTTTTTTTAAAGATGTATTTATGAAATGAACAATAATTTATGATTTTATTTTTTGTTTTGCGTTCTCTGAGAATTTATTTTTTAAACACGCCGCGAAAAAAATCTCAAATTAAATCGCAAAAAAAAAACAAATCTCAAAAAAAAAAAAAGTATACACGCTATCATGATGAAATTTTTAGGGATTGTTCATTTTACCAATGCTTATGATAAGAGCGAAGTAGAGTTTCTCATATGACTTAAGATTTTGATTTAATTAGTTTTTTTCTTTGTATTTTGACCTTTTTTTTAATAACCTAATTTGTCTGTACCCTTTTATCCAAAAATTTATTTATTCAAAAATCTGCTTCGCTCATATCAAGTTTACATATTTAGAACAGTTTTACAAAATTTCATTGACACTCTTTTACACAGTTTTTGTGGTATTTTTAGCTATTATTTGGGTTGCCATAGCAACGAGCTACCATTTTATGTATTTATTGGTGTTTTTAATGTCAGTATAATATGTACTATATGACTAAAGAAAAAGTTACTTTATATGTTTTGTTTTGAAATTTAAGGGTAGTTGCTCCTTAAAGCATCGATTATCTGCGCTTTTCACAAGTTTTCTATACCTGTATTATTTACAGGTGCGAAAGGTTTTCTGTGGTTGACTGAAGTTCTCTATGGAATGGCGGTGATACAATATCCTTAGAGAATTTTTTCAATAGTTTTTAGGGTTTGTTTTCATTGAGGGTGTTAAAAAGTTTTCTATGGGGGTTAAAGGTATAGACTAGTAGAGGGACCCCTCTTTTTTACAGGTATCAAAAGTTTTTCTATAAGGTGAAAAGTATAGACCAGCAAAGGGATATCAGACTCCTCTTTTTCACAGTTATGGAAACTTTTTTGGTGGTCTAACACCCTCATTTTACTACAGCTAGTTTATTTACCACTACGAAGCTATAAACATTCATATGCTTGTCAGTCAATGTTAAATATGCGTTAAGGATGTAAATCAGAAACTTTTCTATGGATTTCTTTGTAAGAAATTTACTGCTTGAATATACCCTTAAAGAAGCTAAATCGAAAACTAGGTAACAAATATTATTTTTTCATCAACAAAGTAAAAACAGTATTAAAAAAAAAATTTATCAGGGATCTCAACAATAGCTTAATAATGGAAGAAGTCCAATTTATTCTAAAATAGTTTTTCAAAATTAAAAAAACAAGACGCGATCACATTACTAAATATTTTTATTGAATAATAAAATAAACTCGAACTGAAATACATAACATCTATATAAGTAGCTAAACGCGCAAAAGTGTATATACACGTTTATTTTTATGAAAATTACGCAAGTTTTATGTTTGTATTTTTTTTTAGCTTAAACTCACTCTTATGTATTCTAATAAGTTTATAAGATTATATTTGTTTCAGAGCCACGAGATACAAAATTGAAATATAAATTTACAGCCATTTACCGAAATTTTAATTATATTACGCCGTGAAATTTCGGTTTAGTAGTAATGATACTAATCGAAGAAACGCAAAGGTTTCTACTTGGTAACTAAGTAGACCCAACAGTGATTGTTACTTCATTTGATCGAGAAATTTTCAACAGTAAAAGATTAAATCAAATTTAAAAATGTAAGAATTTGTGTAAATCAGTAAAAGGGCTTATTTGTAAAAAAAATTGTTTTTTAAAATTATTTTTAAATATTATTTACAAAAAAGCTTAATTGTTTTAAAAACTTATCGATCGATAAAACTTAATGTGCAATTTAAATGAAAATTTAACTTTCGAACAAAATAACGTCGAAGAAAAATTCTAAATCATTTTCGAATTTTTTTATTTCGTTGACAACGAAAATCTCATAAAGAAACTAATGGCGGAGACCTTAATAAACTCGAAAAATACTCGACGTTTAAGATTTGTTGCGCAAATTTAAAAAAATAAAATTTTATTTTTACTTTAAAAAATAAATTTCATTTCTATTTTTTTTTTAATTTATAATATATGTATATGAATATGTATGTATATAATATTATTTGAAAAATTTTATCTTAAGTTAATAAATACAATGTTTTATTTTTATATTTAAATAAATTATTTAAAATAATACAACATAAATTTTAAATAAATAAAATATATAATATATAAAAAAGTAATAAAAAAAAATTTCCACATAACATTACTTTAGAATCTCTGAACGATATTATAATAAATCACAAAACTAAAAAATATAACAAAAATTAATAAAATAATTAATAGCAAAAATTAGTATAATTCAAGTTACTTATTATTAGTAATAATTATAATTATTATTTATCTAGTTTTTATTTATTTTAATCAAAATTATATAGATTTAATCATAAACACTGTAATAAAAATTATAGTTAATGCTTATTATACAAAAAATTGAAAATAAAAATTGAAAAAAAAAAACTTAAAAGATTTAATTTTTTATTATTTTATGTTGTTGTTTATAATTTTTATTAATAATATTTAAAAAAAATAGATAAAAAATTTAATACCATAATAATAATTATATTTAGTATTTATAACATTTATAATCATTATTATAAATTAAAACAAACCATTAAAACAATTTAAATATAAAAAATCTATTAAACTTCTAATCTAGTATTAAATTATAAAAATATTATCAAAATTAATTCGTATATTTTAAAACATATTTAATTATAAAATAAAATATTAAATATTAAATTTATTATTTTATAATTATTATTTTTATTTTACATATTTAAGATATTAAACATACCACTTGACATTCGAACAACGAATCCATTCATAAACATCATCAATAAAATCAATGTCGTCGCGAAGTTCAAGACGTAATACTTCACAAAGATTAATCCATGGAAGAAAGTTTTCTTCAAAATCTTTCTTTGTTATAAAATAATCGTGAGAAAAAAAACGTGAGATCCATATCGTCAACCATTCAATCTTATCTTTCGGTTTCCATCCTTCGAATTTAATCGGACGATAAAAGGTGACATTGCGAACATTAGTTGAACAAAGAATTAAAAGATTTTTTTCTTCATCAATTAAAATATTTTTAGCAACACGTAACGACGTTAACTTTCTTCCAGATTTTATGTAATGATTTACGAAATAATTTTCGCAAGAAGTTTCGTAAGAAGTTTTTCCATCGTCAATCGAAATATTCCACCACCCTTGTTCATCAACGATTGATTTTATTTCATCAGTAAATGATGATTGACTTTCATAAAAACATTCATAGAATAAACTTGTGTCTTCATATCTTTTTCTTAGACGATCTAAAGAAAAATTAAATATTAATTGTAAATAGAAACAAACAAATAATAATTAAAATAATCGAAATTATAATAATAAATACATTATAATACTCTACATATTTATACGTATATATATAAAATTAAAATCGTTTATAAAAAATTTAATACTATGTAATTTTTAAATAAAATAATTCTTTAATAAAAATTATAAAATTATAATACTTTTATGTTATAAAATTGAAAATAATTTTTATTTATCACATTTTTAAATAAAAAAAATTCCATTTTATATAAATTATAAACGCAACATACTTAAAATAATATAAAACAAATTATTCATTTATATAACTTAAAAAAATACACCATTTTATTCATATTATCATTCCAAACAAATTGTTAAAACAAAAAGTATCATCGTTTGATTATTTTAATAAGACGAGTTTTATTTAAACACAGATTTGAAGTGAAGAGTTGTTTCAAAAATCGAATTTCTAAAGAACTTGGTAAAATTTAGAACTTACAATAGAAAATCTCCTTCGACTATCTTTTTCAAATAATTTCTGTAAATAAATTTATGAAAAAATCAAAGAGGGAGGGTTCAAATATTTGTTAATTCGATTTAGACGTCGAACCCTAACTTTGGAGAAACGCACTCTAAAGTAACGATTTAAATATTTTTATAATGTAAAACGTGGTGCGAATTGCGTTTCTTGATTTAGATTGAGCAATAAAAACCCACAGAGAAATATAAAATACAAATGGAAAGAAATTCAATCATGGAGAATAATTAATACAAAGAAATAGGAACTGTTGTTTACAGAAAAACAAAGATTTATATTAAGGAGACATTTTCAAATCATAGTAAACAATAATTTAATTGTTAAAGCTTAGCTACAAATATATAAATGCTAACATATAAACAAAAGAAAAGAAATAAAAATAAGAAAATAGTTTGTTTTTCACATCTATTTTATAATAACAATATTTATCCGTATTTTTAACTAAAAAAGCAGAAGTTCTTGCCGGAAATTTAACTTCTGCTGTAAGCAAGAAAACAACCATACGATTAGGTACCAGCAATTTCTGAAATTAAGTTGCTTCAAGCTATGTAGTTTACAAGAAAAAAAAGTTAACTCAAAAATAAAAAAATTTTGTAGCGATCTTACTAATAAAATAAGATCGCTTTGAAAAATCAACATAAACCGCTTTAAAGACGCCATTTTTTGTAGAATTACAAAGAAATGGCTTCTTAAAAATAAGCAAACAAAAACATTCCAGCGGTTTATTTATTTTTTCTGCATTAACTTAAAGTTTTCAAGCTAAAAAGATGAATTTTTTTTTCTAATTTCAAATCAAAAATATCTGAAAATTCATTTGTTAAATGTCTACCAAGTAAGTTGCAACATTTAAAACCATGTTTTTTATATAAATGTTTTATTCACATAAGTTTATCTAATTATATGACTTCTAAAATATTATTTACTTAATGCATTAAAAAAATAAAGACTTGTTATCGTCAGAGATCGCCATCGTAACAATTCTAATTTAATTTTAAAACATAAATATTCAATACAAAAAATAATTGAATATAAAGCAATAAACTCTTTAAAGATGACCTTGAAAATTTAAAATGAATATAAAACTAAAACATACTTATATATTTACGAAGTTGAAATTTTTTTTACCTGTGTGAATTTTAATTACCCATGGTAACAAAATAAAAATACTTTAAGAAATTATCGAAGAGTGAGATTTTATATTTTCAAAACTCGATCATCGAACTTTAAATAAATCTTTTTATAAATTCGAACTAACTAATAAAAAATAGTATTAAAAAAACTCAGAAACGACCGCGTCGATTCCAGTACGAATGTCGTAACTATCGCAACCGTTGTTTAAAAATGTTAGTGACTTCACGATAAGGTTTAGATCGCGTTCAAAGTTTGATTAATACGTCGAATAATAACTTATACATTTTTATAAGAGAAAATAACTTACATTTTAATAATGTAAAAAATAAATTAAACGAAAATTAACAAAATCATAAAAAAAATTAAGTTTTTTACTATTTATCAAAACTTTAATGCCACAAAAAATGAATAAAATACTCGTTTTTTCAAGACAGAATAATTTTGTAAATTAATATCTATAAATAAAAAAAATAAACTGAATATAAAGTTACTTATTATAAATAACTAAAAAAAAAAAATATTACTGATTATAAAAGCAAGACAAACAATCGATATTAATATGATTATAAAAACAAGACAAACAATCGATATAAAAAAACTATAACTATATTTAATGATTTTTTGATGCTCAATACTTATTATCAGTTTCAATACAAAATTAGAGTGTTTTTGTGTGTGTATATATATATATATATATATATATATATATATATATATATATATATATATATATATATATATATATATATAAACAGGGCCGAATTAAGCCATATTAGTGCCAAAGGCACAAACCCACACCGGTGCCCCCTTCTACCCGGGGCCCCTGATTTTTCGCTGACTGTGACCGCTGGTATGTTCAATATTATGCAAAGAAAACAGTTGTTAACAAATATGTTTGTAGTTTGTACTACTATCATTCATATAAAACCTACAATAAAGTATTTCTGTATTAAAATTAATAGTTAAAGCGCAAAAAAAAAAAGTCGTTAAAGCGCAAAAAATAATTAGTTTAATAAAAAGCTAAATAGAAAAAACCGGCTCATTTATAGCTTAATTTTTAAGCATTCAAGGTACCAAACTTGAATGTGAATTTTTATTATAATGTATTTCTACATTTTCATAGCACTTGTTCAATTTTCAGTTGTTTCTGGACTTAAATTTGTTTAAAAAAAATATTTCTTTAGGACTTGTGGTGCCCCCAAACGCTTGGTGCACAAGGCAAATGCTTTGTTTGCCTAATGGTTAATCCAGGCCTGTATATGTGTGTGTGTATATATATATGTCTGTGTGTATATATATATATATATATATATATGTCTGTGTGTATATATATATATATATATATATATATATATATATATGAATATATATATAAATATATATATATATATATATACACATATATATTTATATGGTTCATTTGTTTATTAATAGTGGGTTTTTCCCACTCTATGTACATGTTTTCATTGAGATTTTATATAAATTTATTGGAGGCCGAATCCAAAATTGAAAAACTAGCTAAGATTAAAGCTATTAAGACAGCTTTTATTTGAATAAATATGTTTATAAGTGTGAGAGTTTTTATCCCTTTTATAGTGTTCGATAATCTGTGTCATTAAATAGCGATTAGTTTCGCCAATAACAGGCTGCGCATTCAAATTTACAGACAACGAATAATTTAAAGTCTATAAGAAAGGGATCTTTTACCAATAAATAATTTTGTTTATTGGTAAAAGAACCAATAAAAAGTCATTTTTGTAGCAAAAAATGACGCCAAAAAAAAGATTTCACACGAGTATTATAAATATCCCTGAATTATCGAGTTCAATTAAATTAATTGTCAAACCTGCAGATTTTGTTACAAATAAACGTATTACTAATAAATCCAGAGATATTGAATTCGAGAAAACTAAACATTATTTAATACGTAAGTTTAATATTTTTAAATATACCAAAGAAAAATATTTTTCTAGCAAACGTAACATTGATTCACTACCATGATAACAATTTATTGCATCAAAAAAAAAAAAATTCCATTTATTGACATTATAGCATCAACTGAAGAATATGCTTTAAAACTAAAAAAAAAACGTGTATGTCGAAAAAGATGAATTGTTGCGACAAAATGTAAGCAAAACATTTAGGAAATTTTTAAGTGTAAAAATAGCTAGTAATCTTTCTAATAATCAATATCTAAATTTAAATGAACTAAAAAAGTCGAATGAAATGAAGTTATATTCTTTTGCTATTTTAGATTCAGAATTGATTCAACTATGGCATGAAAACATTGAACAGTTGTTTTTTGTTACAAAGTATGTGAATACCAGGACTAACTATTTGACAAGGAATTTTAATTTCTTCATAGGTAAATTTAAAAAGATTAGGTTAAAACTACTAACATCATGCTCCAAGCATCATATACCACATGAACTAGTATACCTTATTGCTTCATTCTTTTTATTTTGATAACAACCATTCATATAAAAAATCTCTACAGCTTTAATGATAACCTTACAATTCTGTAAAATATATGATTTTGTCTTGTAACTTTTTCAAATTTATATTGTATGAGAATTTATATACTAACTAAGCCCAGGGTCCACAACTGTTTCATCGATTAAATTAATGAACCATTCTTTTCCAATCATAGATACTTTTTGTCTTAATTGGCAAAACATGAAAAGATTTATATCATGTTTCCTGAATGAAGTCTTGCTTTTTGCAGACTTATATTTTGAAACAAAACAATTTTGTTTTGTTTCAAAACAAAATTGCTCTTAAATTTTATTAAACATATTTTTTATAAAAGATTACTTTAATTGTCTTAAAAATATTCTGACAAATTTAAACTCTCAGCCAAATCAGCAACAACTTGTCTGAACTATGACGTATGACGTATTTGCGTTAATCTTTTGCAGTTAATAATTCGTGATCAGATAGAAACACTTTAATTTAAGACACACACAAGTCGTTTGAGAAGTGCCTTGGGGACACACAAGTTAATTTGAGAACAAAAATATCTTTATAAAGTGCAAAAGTAACTCCTTGCTTAATAGAAATTATAAAAAATATATAAATAAAAATAAATCTTTTATTTTAAATAGGATCTTAATTTATAAATAAAATTATGATCTATTTAAAGTATTAAACTTTTAAAAAACCATATAAAAATTAAAAACAGAAAAAAGTATTTTAAAAAACCTTTAAGTAAAAAAAACTTCTCTTAAAAACATCTAGAAAACCCAGTGTTTTGTGATTTTAAAATCAATATAACCGGTGAACAAAATCAATATAAACAGTGAATGTAGAAATTAAGTAATATTTTACACA